GTATATATATATATATATATATATATATATATATATATATATATATATATTATATATATATATATATATATATATATATATATATATATATATATATATATATATAGAATCTATATTGATTGTAGCTTGCGCATAATAGGGAATGGGGCTTCCATAATGCGAGAGTAAACTCTGTCGCATGGTCTCCAAACTCTGACATGGTTGCAAGTGGTAGTCTCGATACTACTATTATCATCTGGAGTGTGACGAATCCAGCAAAACATACTATCATCAAAAGTAAGTTAAAAAATTTCTTTTCTGAGAATAGATCGCGATTAACAAAAGAAATCTTTACATTGTAGATGCTCATCCTCAAAGTCAAATAACACGCTTGATCTGGCTGGATGAGGAAACATTAATCTCCGTCGGACAGGATTGCAACACTAAAATATGGCGTATAGAAAAGATATAATTAATTTTTGGAAGAATTTATTGCCACTTCTAAGGAAACTCAATTTTGGAGACATTTTATTTATTTCGTAGTCTATGAATATTGTATATTATTTTTTAATACAATTCTTGATATATGATTAAAAAATTATATTGCATCTTTTTTGCACCTTTTGTATTGACTTTATTAGTAGAATAATTCACATCCCATATAACTATTTATGGCTATAGTTTTATCACTGCAATTTTGTTTATCTTTGTATACATAGATATTGCATTTGCACTAAGAATCACACGACTTACCTAATTTGTCTTTATTAAAACAATGTAACAATAACAAGAAAGCGATAACAATTCGAACACTAAAGGTCTTCAGGAACATGATCACACTTTACTTTGTACACTTAACAGACTGTTACTTTGACTTATCTTATCATTAATCAGTCCAGTACAACTCTTATAAATTCAATTACATTCGCAATCTACCATCGTAGGTAGGCACATTCATAGTTCTATGAATAGTCTTTTTGTTACTATTATTTTTTAATTCAACATATCTACAATGATAAACCTTATTATTTTTAACATAATAAAATATTTCTTTCGATTTTTCTTTCTCTTTCACTTTCTCTTTCTATATAATGAATATATAATATAATGAAAAATTTAAAATTTTTAATAGAAAGGTATATCCTAATAAGGGTTAAATGTCTATGTAGAATAATATAATGACTTTACCATCACAGTATTGATGGTTTCGGTGTACTATATCGTGGACGTTTTTGAGAAGAAGCCACCGGATGTCTATAGGACACGTGTTTTCTGAGAGCGTCTCGCGATCGCGACACGTGTGAACACGACGTGCAGCTGTATGA